TAATAAGCCATCATCACAGTCTCACATTTCCTTCTTCCTAGGAAAATCAAGAAATCTTCTCTTCATAATAGATGATCGGACATCTTTGTCTGGAGATCCCAAATAAAACTGTGTACAGGCATGTGAGATTAAAACAAAAAGATGTTGGGCTAGATTCTTTTTTAAACTAAGATACTTTTATTTCTCTTTGGCCGAGAACATGACTTATACGTACTGATGGCCCCCCAACATATTGACGGAGCAGCGACGTGAGACATTAGGGCAGACAAGAAAATGACCGGTCATCTCGGACATACTTACTTGTTTCTTTTAATTCTGACGGTCTGACCGTTGCAGAGCCTCCATGAGAACATGCAAATGGCTGGACTGGTTCAGACCGAGGGTCTGCCCTGCCAGTACTCCGCCTCCAATCAGCAGGAGGATTTTCTCAGCAAAATCTCATGGCTCCCCTTTTAGCTTATCTGGCCCTCCTGGCTCCCAAAGTACAGCCCACAAAACAAGAAGCGAAATGATTTTCCAATCCAGCAGTTCTTAAATATGTAGGAGAAAACTTTTCTTTAAAGAAGAGCCAACCTCATGAAAAGGGTCTTGTGGCGCCTATGTATAATAAATAATAAGCCATCATCACAGTCTCACATTTCCTTCTTCCTAGGAAAATCAAGAAATCTTCTCTTCATAATAGATGATCGGACATCTTTGTCTGGAGATCCCAAATAAAACTGTGTACAGGCATGTGAGATTAAAACAAAAAGATGTTGGGCTAGATTCTTTTTTAAACTAAGATACTTTTATTTCTCTTTGGCCGAGAACATGACTTATACGTACTGATGGCCCCCCAACATATTGACGGAGCAGCGACGTGAGACATTAGGGCAGACAAGAAAATGACCGGTCATCTCGGACATACTTACTTGTTTCTTTTAATTCTGACGGTCTGACCGTTGCAGAGCCTCCATGAGAACATGCAAATGGCTGGACTGGTTCAGACCGAGGGTCTGCCCTGCCAGTACTCCGCCTCCAACGATGGCTCGAGGCGTGACAGCCCGAACTGAGGGCAAGCGTGTACGATACTTCCCTCCATCCCCTACCTCCATGTCTCTACCTCCAGCTAGTTTCAGCTGAAAGGAGTTGCTGATCCATTTATGGTTTGTCTATCTAATGACCTCCTTAGGTCTCCAGTCTGCTATGTAAACTTCTTGCATCCACAACACTGTTTGGCAAGGAATGCCATATGAGTTCTCCATTGCAGGGAGAATATTCATACTACGTAGTCTCACTCCAGCAGACAGCATTTAAAAGAATAACAACTTTTTTAGTATCAGCAGATACAGATCATGTTTCTCAAGGCATGTGTTCCTATTTATATGAGAAAAGCAATGACACTCTTCTCATATGCTGGTATAGGAACCTCTTTCAAGACTATTTTGGAGACATTCACTTGAATGTTGAATGGCTTTAAAAACTCAGTGCCCTTCTGAACAAATGTTCCTTCCTTTTAAGCTTCTAAAAACTGATTCATGCTTTTTAATCTGATGCAACTTTTTTCTAGAAAATGCATTTATATGACCCAAAGTGGCCAAGTTTGATATACCATTGAATTATCCTGGAAAAGGCCTTGCTTTCTCAGTCCATAGAGGCAAAACCTACAATAGGATTAACATTTTCAGTTCCAGTCTCCACAAATGCATTATTCTGAAAATCCCAGAGAAAATGTCCCCTACAAAACAAAAGAACACTTAACGGATTAATATGTATAGCTTTTTAATTTTTACAAACTGTACAGACCCCTGCCACAAATCTCAGGTGTTTTTACCATCTTTCTGATTAAATCATCTCTGTAAGTAGCAGCAAAAATTTTATAACCTCTCAGGGCCTGCATCATTAAGTACTGAAAATAACTTGAAGTGCTGTGCAAAGCAAATGGTATAGCTGTAAACTCCTACAGACTCCTAGGAATTTGAAGCCTTTCTTAAGGCAATAGTCAGTAATTTTTCATATAAATAAAAAGCCAAATCTCTACTTTTTACCATCAGATGTTCTAGTCATTCTGGTATTGTCATCTCCAGCTCTGCATTAGCATCGCTGTACCTGCATACACCCGTATGCACCTACATACACCGGTCGCCTAGATCAACTCCTCTAGAATCAGTATATCTCTACCACCTTTCTCCACAACAGGATGAAAACTAATCCATGGTCCATGAATAACAAGTTTCTCAACAGCAGCTTTTCAATACAGAGCTTGCAATCTGTCTCCCATTCACTTTGTCAAATTATGGTCCACATATCAGCCATTTGCAGCAGTGATATATCTGTCAAGCGTCAAGTACATTTCCTGCAAAGGAAAGTCTTTTTTAGGATTTTTTAACTTTCAAAATGTCTAATCCCAAACATGCAAAATAATGAGTCAGACGCCAAAAAATCATGAGATTTTTTTAAAAAAATATGTTAACGTCTTTTCCTTTGCTTTCTGGAGCATTTTCTGGGTCATGTTTTCAAGCTTTTCTGCAAGGCCATAAGGGTTTCAAACATTATTAAAAAGAAAGCAGCTGAGATCCTTTTGTAATTGCATGTTTAAGGAAAACATTTATTGCCATCAGACTTAAACTGTGTTGAACTGACAACCAAGAATCTTCAGAGATATTTTTGATCAAATAATCCTGAAAAGGGAGTATTGCTTCAAACCTGTTTTCTCTGGAGTTTTGTTTACATTACTTATGTATTTTTTCCAGATAATTAAGCTTTACTAAAAGCAGGTTGTTAGACATGGAGGAAAGCCATGACTTAACACTATCTTGAAGGACTCTTTACAATACCAAAATATCTGAGGTACAGATTATAGATCCTCATACAAACAGCAATTTCTTCACCTGAAATTTGTGATTTGCTCCCCCTTAATACTGAGTCCCCTTGAAATCTTTACTCTGGATTTTTTTTTTCCCCAGTGACGAGAAGACAGTTTTTTGTGACAATGTGCATTACAAATCTTCTTAAAAGTTCTTCAGATTCCAACTGTTTTGAGACAAAAATGGTCATGAGTATTTGATAAATGTAACCATTAGTGGTGTCATCATCTCAGCTTATTTGTGTGGCACTCACTAATTTGTTTTTATTTAAAGAGGGAAAGGCATTCCTTTCTTTTCATAATGCAATTCCTCTGTAGGGCATTATCTAAGTTCAGTATAGTGTCCTTCCTGTATCCTTTCTCTTCCATCCTTTCTGTCCTGATTAAAACTACCAGAGAGTCAGCAGGAAACCCAGTGGGATTGCTCAGTGTCTTGAAGTCACCCTTTCTTTCATTGTTTTTGCCTGCTAAACCTTGTTTTGCTCATCAATCCCTCTCCCGCATCCCCCTGGATTCCCAACTTTCCTTTGTCGGCACCCTTGTTTGCAGCCAATTGTGCTCCTCTTCATTTTCCCTACCCCATTCTCTTCCTTCCTCCCCTCTCAGTTTGCCCATCTCCTCAAGTTTCCCTCCTCCATCCTGCTGTGAGGAAGGCTGTGCCTGGTGTCAGTACTGCCCCCAGCACGGCCAGGCCCAAGCACTATGAGCTAACGAGGCAGACCCCCGCTCATGAGGTATTTCATGGGTGGTTCTTTTTACTTTTCACTTGCTTCCTGCTTTCTGAGGCATGCTTATGGATCACAGTTTATTTCTGCCACCACAAACTCTGGGCGATGGCTTCCACTCTGCTGGGACAGAAGACGAAGGGCTCACCTAACCCGCCGGGCCCCGCGTGCAGCTCGACTCTGGTCGACCTCACAGGACTGCCAGGGGAGCCGGGGCACAGGGCGCCCGACCCGACCTTTACAAAATGGTTCTGGAGATGGGTCGGGGGCCGTGGAGATGGGCCAGGGGGTTCTCACAGAGGCACCTGGCAGCCTGTGGCCAGCCCATCTCGGAGTCCAGGGCCCAGGCCGACCCCCTCGCTCTCCGGCCGTCGCTGCCAGCC